TCTGCAGGGCCACCCAGGTGGTTTTCTCCCTGTGTGGGGAGAGGAGCACCTGTCTGGTGGGAGGGGCCTTCCCACATCCTCCTTAACAGTGCTGCAGGGTGACTCAGCTCAGAGAAGGCCAGAAAAGGCCACGTCCAATCCCCCAGGTAGCAAGCGCCCAGGTGCCCGGGCTTCCCAGGATGAGGGATGAGAGCATGCATTTGGGGAACATTGGCTGCGCTTCAAATCCAGGCCCTGCCCCTTACTTGCTGGGTGACATTAGGCAAGCAGCCACCCCTCTGGGACTTAAATTTCCTCACTGGTATTTTTACCACTGCTGTGAACTCAAAGGCAACAACAGAAGGAGAGCACTTTGGAAGGTTAAAATCCCGGTGCGTTAGGATTAGGATCAGGCAGGGGTGGCTTCTGGAACTCTCTCCCATCCAAAGGAAACTGGGAATTTCTGCCCAGGTCTGTTTCTCCTAGTTTGTCCCCTCATCTCTCCCCTTACCTGAGTGATTCAAACAATTTTGGCAACACGATGCCCTCCCCTTTTGCAAAACCCACTTACGTCCACTACAGAACCACTGGGCAATGAATGCTCTGTTCCTCAGAAGTGAATTTTCCAGATACCTATAGGTGAACTCCTCTAATGTAGTCCCCAACCATTATATCTGATCCTTACAGTACTGTATGTGTCAGGTGGGAGGTCAGGTGTTCAAATCCTCACTTCAGAGATGAAAGGCATGAAAGCACCAAGAGGTTAAACTTTGTCAAGGGTCGTAAATAGTATGTTAGTGACTGAATGAGGACTAGGGTCCGCTGCAGGCCCTCCTGCTGGGGAGGTAGTGGAGCAGGTAGGACGTGAGGTCCAGAGTCCCGGCTCTGACATCCTCGCCCCTCACCTTCTAGCTCTGTGACCCTGGGAATGATATTTAACCTCCAGGTTGATACTTCCTACCTCATAATAATAACAGCAAGTGCACAGCATAGACCGTGTAGCAAGCACTGTTCTAAGTGCTTAATACATCAACGTTTAACTTTTACCACAACTATAGGTACTGTTACCATTCCCATTTTACAGATGAGAACACTGAGCACAGGGAGGTTTTGTAAGTGGCAGTGTTGGGATTTGAACTGGGGGATTTGGCTCGTGTCCATGTTCTAACCACCCTGCCCTGCTGCCTCGCCTGGGTGTGCTGTGAGGACTGAGTGTGACAATGAGTGTGGCGTGTAGTACCAGGCTCATGGTAAAGGCCCAGTGCATGTTAGCTGTCGCTGTTGTTATTATTACTAACCCTCAGCAAGGCCAGGTACTTTACTTTTCTGCTTGGCCTCTTCTTTGTAACCTTTGCTTTTCCATGGATCCTCTTTTCCTTGTTTCCACAGGGGATCAAGCTTGAAGAGCAGAAGCCGGGACCCCAGAAGAACAAGGTGGGCTGGGTGGATGAGGGGGCCTCCAGGTGGGCCCAGTGAGTGGTAGAGGTGAAAGGAAGGCAGAAGGAGCAGTGAGCTGGTCTTCTATCTCACACCTGTCTAACTCTTTGGTTTCCACCAAGAACCACTTAAATGGCTGCATCCTTGTTAGACTGGTGTGTGGTGGGCAGCAAAGGGGACACTGGCTTGACGCCTTTAGGGACAGCTTGAGAGCAGGCTGGGGATGGAAGCTGCTGGTGAGACCTAAGACTAATCTGACCCCTCCTGCGCCCTACCCGCCCACAATGTTTAGGCCAAGGGGATCAGCTTGTGCTCTAGGCTCCAGTGGGCAGTCAGCTGTCAGCTTCAGGTTCCATGTCCAGGGCCCAGTGGTGCAGCTCAGTGCTTGAACCTTAGCCCCCTTGCCTGGATGGGGCCAACAAACGGGATTCAGAGAAAGCTGGGGTGTCTAGGGCTTACCTCCCAACGATGGTGTTTTAGTCTTCCAGTGCTGCCGTAACACAAACACCACAAGTGGGTGGCTTTAAAGGACAGAGATTTATTTTCTCCCAGTTCTGGAGGTTAGAAGTCCAAATCAG